ACAGGAAGAAGAAACCCCGGTGAGTCAATACTCCTTAATTATACCTGCTTGCTAATAATTTAACCCGCTCCAATCTGTGTTTTTTTCCTAGTCAAGCAGGATTCCTTTCATCGATTCGACAAGTAATAGTTTAGTTTAGGGAAGAGCGAGTGCATTGTACCGCATGCTATAGTAGTCGCTTTTAACGTAAGCGTAGAAGCAATCGCATATACAGTCCACTTTAGTTAATATCTCGCGTAATAGGTTTGAGGTTTGACCGGGGAACTAGATTTTCGGCAGCCTTAAACACGTGGCTCCACCAGTTGTATATTTTGAATAATTTTCATTGGTCATAATATAAGCATTATAATTGGCTAGATAAAATAAAAATTGTTACCATTGGCAAATCAATTGTGAGCCAGCCATATAAATATAGGCAAAGTTGATGCAAATATATTCCATACCACATTCATTCCATATTCATACTTCAATCGGACTTACATAAACAGTCGCTTCATCCACCTTAAAACTACTCGGAGTCTGTTAATAGTGGACCGTCCATCACCACTATTATAGTGGTGACCCCGTACGAACACCGAGGGGGAAGATCCCGTACGAACACCGAGGGGGAAGATCCGGTACGAACACCAAGAAGGAACACCCTGCAACGTACCACTACTATTACAGTGGTGACCCGTACGAACACCGCGAAGGAAACCCGTGGCGAACACTTCAGAGAAGGAAGACTTCAGTATGTATAAAATCTGTGTAAGCAAGCCGTCATTATGGAGCAAGAGGCAAACACATCAAACCCGGTCAAGGAACCAGAAATCGCCGGTATATCTCTATCGTTGAGAATACCACCGTTTTGGAGAGACAAACCACGACTTTGGTTCGTCAGTTTTGAAGCCGCAACGAATGGTTTAAAGAAGAGCCAAGCGCAACTAGCACATATGGTGATACCCCAACTTGAGAAACAAGACATCGAACAAATTTCGGACCTCTTGTACAACCCACCAGCAATCGACCAGTATAATACACTGAAGGATCGTCTGATCTCCGCATATGAAGAATCCGACAGTCGCCAGCTACAGAAACTTCTATCAGAAATAGAACTTGGAGACCAGAAGCCCACACAACTCCTACGCAAAATGCGTACTTTGGCGCGAGATAAAGTTCCGGATTCAACGCTACGGCTAATGTGGGTAAACCACCTACCACCACATATTCGATCGGTAATAGCAGTCAGCGAAACATTCAGCACGCAGACGAACCTCGACGAACTGGCACTCCTGGCGGACAAGATGATCGAAAACAGCAGTAGCTCATACATATCGATGATCGAAGGCATTTCAACAAAGGCCAATGATACCCAGTTTCTTCTCGAAGATATTCGGAAGCTATCATTCGAAGTCGCCGCGCTCAAAGCTTCCCAGCATCACACCTTTTACCAGCAACAGTACAACCAGCGCAATCAGCAACACCGAAGATCACCTTTTCGTCGCAACCGCTCTGCAAGTAGAAGTCGAATAAGCTCAGCATCAAGATCCCCTTACTGCTACTATCATCGACGTTTCGGGTTCGACGCAAGAAAATACACAGAACCGTGAACATTCAAAAATGAAAATACGAATACGGAAAACTAACTAGTACGCTCGATGCGACGGGATCCAGCGTAACAGCAAAGTCCTACCGTCTTTTCGTCACCGATAAAAAAGCAAGCTTACTTTCCTTTGGGACACGTTATTTTAATTGAGATCGTTACCAATATGATGTGAAATTTAAAATTGGATCAATTGTATTTATACAAAATAATATTATTTTCAAAATAAATTTTTACTGGACAATGTATAATCCGTAGGAAAAAACTTTTTTCGCAATACTATCTGCGTAGTCTGTCGTATATACGCTGTAACTTTTACCTTCCATTGCAACCAAATTTGATCCATAAAAATCGCTTCATCATCATCACCATTACAGCTCTTCCTTCATACGTCTACTGCTAAACATAGGCCTCCCACAAGGAATTCCACAAAACACGGTCAAATTGATTGATATAACAAATTTAAAAACGATACACAAACTTGAATGTATTTGGAATGTGTACTGTTTTTTCTTAATATTTTAACCCAAAATGACATATCAATTTAAAACACACAAATTAAACATCGCTCGGTCGGTCTTCACCCTTTTGTTACCGAAATACATCTTAAAATCAAACGATTTGTTTGTCGTTCGTCTTCCGTACTGCTATTATACTATACTATGTACTATATTGAAAGTCCGATATTGTGGTAGTCCATTAGTAGTCCACTTAGCAAAAGTAATTTGCTAGCATCTGTCCTTCAATCTGATTACATCGTGGTTGTCTTCAAGGCAAGAGTGGTTTTGGCTTTTACTAAGCTAAGTTAGTGTGTCCATCTTTGGCTTTCAAACCGTTTACTAGGCTATCATCACTTAAAAAGGTGGGATAGTAGTCAAACAATGGCTAATAATAGTTAAAAGATCAATAAAAAAATAATGTCATAATTACAGCACAATTCACTTCCAAACATCATGCTAGCTGTATACAGCTGTATAGAAGTTCGTTTTTATACTAGAGTCTGGCTGTATTAAGGCTGTATGAGCGCTTATATAGTTCTTATAAGTAAAAACATGGCACGAATTGTACAGTTTTATGCGTCAGTAGCTAATAGTTAGTAGCTGTACAAATAGTTAAGAGGTTGTATAATAATAATTATAATAATAATAATGTCCCTCAGACCGAATTTTGGTCACGGCGGCAAACCTTAACGGAGACTAGGCATTGGCGCAGGACAGGATTATAGTGCCCAAGTGCAAACACAGGTGCACTCTCTATTCCCTCACTCACATAATGCGATGGGACGGTAAACTGACACGACTGGACAGCCAACCAACGACTTTTCGCCAACTTCCTAACTCCGGGCAACTACTGAAAATTTCTTGATGGAAAAACTCAACAACTGATTTATTGATCCGACCCAGGATTCGAAACCCAGGACGTCATGATCAGCAGGTGCACTACTACAACCACTAGTCCAACAAAGCAGTTTGTAGCAGCCAGACTAATCAACCCTAAACGGGAATAAATAATATATACTCTGCTGCTACCATAACGCGGAAGGCGAGGATAAAAAACATTTATTTCCTAACTATCCTTGGCTACTGCGATACTGCGGACTGCATATAGATAATTTGACGTTCTTATAAAGAAACAAGAAGCAGCCGCAAATATCATTCAGCGCCACATCGACTTCACACGCCGCTATCGTCACGTATCCGTTGACCAATGGTGAGCCGTTTCTTCAACGCCGCAGTTCGCTTCTTCTCGCCGTTCCGGAGCTGTATTCCACGCCGCCGCCGCATGCACCGACTACGCGCGCGCACTTTAATTAAATTTTTTTTTTTTTGCGCCCGAAGCAATTAAAGGGCTACCCTGTACGTAGGGAGGCGGAAAATGCATTACGCATACCACGATAGCCGGTCTATCGTAGTTATGGGGGACTCATTGTCCTACCGGGGACCCTAAGTGATACCCCCTAAAAACCGCCTTTGGGGACAGGCAACCGGCTGATTAAGCTCTATTGTGCCTTATCATGAGCGACCCTCTTTTGGGAAAAGAGGGCGCAGGCGGCTAAGTGCCGCTGAGGGAGTGCCTACGAAGGCAAATTAATGTCAGATATTACAATAATTTTATTTAATTAGAGTTGGCCTGAGCCGCCAGGAGACAGTTCAGGTCGTTTGAAAGTTTATTAGGCGGGTCCGAGAGAGAGTTTCTCGGCCTGCGGACACGATAGCGAGAGGGGGTGGGGCTGCATAAGAAGCTGCCTCACGAATTAAATGGTTTGGGTGCGACTCTGAGGCTTTGAAGAAGTTCTCAGAGAGTTTTTTAAGAAATTGTTGAATTGTTGGGAGCTCTAAGTCCCGATGAAGGTCGGCATTACGAACGTACCACGGTGCGTTCGCAGCTCGACGACAGAATAGGTTCTGAACTATTTGGAGTTCATTTAAAATGTTAGGGTTTGCGATTTTAATATGTATTTCGGTAACAAAAGGGTGAAGACCGACCGAGCGATATTTAATTTGTGTGTTTTAAATTGATATGTCTTTTGGGTTAAAATATTGAGAAAAAACAGTACACATTCCAAATACAATCAAGTTTGTGTATCGTTTTTAAATTTGTTGATATCAATCAATTTGACCGTGTTTTGTGGAATTCCTTGTGGGAGGCCTATATTTAGCAGTAGGCGTGTGAAGGAAGAGCTGTAATGGTGATGATGATGAAGCGATTTTTAGGGATCAAATTTGGTTGCAATGGAAGGTAAAAGTTACAGCGTATATACGACAGACTACGCAGATAGTATTGCGAAAAAAGTTTTTTCCTACGGATTATACATTGTCCAGTAAAAATTTATTTTGAAAATAATATTATTTTGTATAAATACAATTGATCCAATTTTAAATTTCACATCATATTGGTAACGATCTCAATTAAAATAACGTGTCCCACAGGAAAAAGGATCTGTGTAGGGAAAACTATCGCGAGGTGATTTTTTACAATGATGTAATTTAACCGTGCTTAACGAAGCCATAAAAGGCAAGTCAACGCCAAATGCAGAGGCTAATACAGTTTATAAAACAAAGTTACCTACTATTCATATCCCAAAATTCATAATATTATATATATATTCATAAGGTAAATATAGCGATTTTACCCCCTTTATAAACCTTTTTACTGCTATCGTCCACAAGGATAGATCGATTGATAACGTTCAAAAGTTATATTATCTTCGTTCGTTTTTACAAAAGGAGCCATTTGATCTAATAAAGAATCTACCCCTGAGCCCTCAAAGCTATGATGAAGCACTTAGAATGTTAAATGATAGGTACAATCATAGGTTCAGAATTGTAAATGAACACATTAATTCATATTTAGATATGAATGCTCTGGTCAGATCAACCCTAAGAAACTTGCGTGATTTTGTTTCTCATGTCAGACAATGTTTAGCTGCTTTAAAAATTTTGATGTGAACACTGAAACATGGGATCCTGTGATTCTAACTATTTTATATCATAAATTAGATACTTACACATCACGAGCTTACCAATTGGAGCGTGGCAATGAGTCCGATCCTACTATTAAGGAGTTCCTGCTGTTCCTGGAGAAGCGAGCCTTGGCCCTGGAGAAAGCAGAACCTACTACTGCCACCAAGACTCACTACAAGCCGGTGGTGAATGTCGCTACACCTGCAGCTCTTTTATGTGCTTATTGTAAGTCTAATGACCACAAATTATTCAATTGTAAAAGCTTTAAACTGTTGTCCTCTGCAGACAGAATAAATTTTAGCAAGGAAAGTAAATTATGCAATGTATGTATGAATGATCACCGTGGTAAATATAAATATCATTTCCGGTGCAACATTTGCAAACAGAATCACAATACATTACTTCAAGATGAACTTTCTCACAAGCAACCTGTCACTTTAATTTCTAATATTGACAACAATAGAGTCTTGTTGCCCACTGTGAAACTAAAACTTTATTCTCAGAGCGGAAGAGAAGTGCACATCAAGGCGATTTTGGATTCAGCGTCTCAGGTATCCTTAGTAACTAAAAAAGTTATAGATGTACTGGGGATCACTCCAAATAAAAATAATACAAATATAGTAGGGGTCAGCAACACAAATAATGCTGCAAAATATTCTGTACCCATCGAGGTTTTCGCGCTTACTTCACCCTACAAGGTGACAATAAACTGTCATGTGCTAGATCAAATCACATGCAGGCTTCAACAATACAAAATTGACTTGGCAGCCATCATTATCCCTCCAGAACTAAATTTAGCAGATTCAGATTTTCACATGTCATCAGAAATAAATATGCTAATTGGAGCCGACATATTTTTCCAGGTGCTGCTCCCAGAGCAACAGCCAGCTCTTCAGCAACCTGCTTCAAGGCATACTGAGCATGAGGCTCAGCAGCCACGCTTCATTAATACTAAATTTGGGCATGTAATAGGGGGTGCCTTGCCAAGGATTAACATTTTTAATAATACAAGTAAGGTGTCTTTATTATGTATTAATTGAAACTCTGATATGAATGAATCTATACAGCGTTTCTGGCAAGCTGAAAGTATCCCAGAAAGGTTTATTGAACATATTCCAGAGCAAGAATTATGTGAAACTATTTTTCAAAATACAACAATTCATAAAAATAATAAGTTTCAAGTCAACCTACCATTAAAATTACCTTTAGATAAAATTAATGATGCTCTTAGAAACTCATTTGAGTTTGCATATTATAGATTTTTAAACTTGGAAAAGAAATTACACAGTAATATTAATTTAATTTCCGAGTATAAAAGATTCATAAATGAGTATGTAGAATTAGGACACGGACACTATATTGATTTCAATTCATTCGATTTTAAAAAGGACACTTTGTATTTCATGTCGCATCATGCTGTTGTTAATAAGAATAGTAAAAGCACAAAAACACGTGTGGTTTTCGATGCATCCATGCAGACAGATAAAAAATTGCTACTTAAGGGGAAATATAACCTCAAATGGCTTAGCAAGATCCTCCGTTATGCAGAAAGTATTGCAGCATTAATTTTGAAATAAATATATGGTAAAGTTGAGGATTAATGTTAAGGTTTATGTTAGACGAAAACACGATTCCGTAAAATTCTTTCGATAGAAAAAAAATCCAAAGTTACCTCCAAACTGAACAATAAACCGCTGTTATTCATAAAATACTTTAAATAAGATCATGAAACTTTGCATACTAACTGAACTAACCATAAAGCAGTGCTTATGTTATTTACTTTTTTTAAAATATCATTATTTTCACTGTAAAAAGAAATTACCTAAACTATCGGCGCGTAAGCTTGGTTCCTGCGGAGCGACAGGATTACAAAACGGTGAGTACGATTTTAATAAAACCTCTACTTTACCACCACCACCGGCAGATTTACCTGAGGTGAAAAAGGATGCTGTAAACTTCACGGCCAAGGTTTCCCTCCTTACGCAAAATAAGGACGATTTTTATACTTTTCTCGATAGGTTTTCGGATCTCAATAAAATGACACGTGTTCTAGCATATATATTCAGATATTTCCACAATCTTAAAAATAAAAACGAGCGTAGGTCGAGTACTTCATTATCTTCTTTTGAACTGCAATATGCTTTACGCAAAATTATACAATGTGAGCAGAGCATTCATTTCAAAGAAGAAATTAAAATCTTAAAATTTAATAACGAAAATGTAAACGGCTCTTTAAAACCACGTCACCCCTTTCTAGACAAAGAGTACATCTTAAAAGTAGGTGGTAGGATAGAAAACTCTGATGTATCTTTTGATAGAAAACACCCTATCATTCTACCTAGAAATTCACGTATCACTGACTTAATTATTAGCCATGAACATAAAAGATTGTTACAGGCTGCACCAAAATTATTATTATCAAGTTTAAACCAGAGATACTGGATTGTTAATGGTTATAGATATGTGAAAAAGCAAATTCATAATTGTTTAATTTGTTTTAGAATAAAAAGCGATTATGCCAAACAGTTGATGGGTTCCTTGCTTGAAAGAGTAACAGCTTGTAGAGCATTCCAGAAAATAGGAATTGATTTCGTGGAACCAGTACAAATAAAAAATTCTCGACTACGACGTGCTTTACAGACAAAGGGTTACATCTGTGTGTTTGTCTGCTTTGTAACTAAAGCCATACATCTCGAGCTCGCATCAGATTTAACCACTGACTGTTTTCTTGCTTGCTTTGAACGGTTAATCGCGCGAAGGGGATTGCCTACAGATGTGTTTTGTGATAATGGAGGCTCTTTCAGAGGGACAAGGAATGAATTGGTTCACTTATATAAGTTGCAGTCGTCACAAGTGCATCAAACACAAGTCCGAAATTATGCGGCACAACAAGGTATAAATTTTCACTTTGTGCCCAGTTTCTCGCCCGTGTTTGCTGGACCTCCGGAGGCAGCAGTCAAAAGTATGAAATTTCATTTAAAACGTATCATACAAGGATATGTATTAACTTATGAACAGCTAAATACAATTTTGTGTCAAATAGAAGCTGTACTCAATTCCAGACCACTGTTGCCTGTAACAGCTGATGATGTAAATGACTTTAGCTTTATTACACCAGGCCATTTTCTTATTGGTACTGCATTAACCTCTTTCTCTGAAAGAAATGTTGTGGATATACCTAATGCTAGGTTAAAATTCTGGGAAATTTGTAACAAGGTTAAGGGCCATTTTTGGAAAATATGGCACCATTATTATTTAAATATTTTGCAGTCTCGCCCTAAATGGCGTGACAGTTTGCCCAATGTAAAAGTAGGAGCCTTAGTGATACTTCGACAGCCAAACTCCTCGCCTCTGTCATGGCCAATGGCCAGAATTGTAAAGGTATATCCTGGGAAAGACAATAAAATTCGTGTGGTAGATGTTGTGACACCTAGTAAAAAAATATATAAGCGTTCATTGAGCGGCATAGCTATACTTCCTTTAGAATAAAATAAACACTGGTGTTATAGCATAACTATACGAATCCTAGCTATAATTAATTATCTTTAAAATACTTATCTTACGAATAATTTATTTAAGTAATTTAAGTATATAGGGTGTCGGAATAAAATGTCTTAGTAACTTGCCTTTTGAAAATGTTAAATGATGGCAATATGCTGGTTTGCTTGAATAGGGCATTTAAATAATAGTAAATATAATAGAAGACTCAGAAGTCTTGTTTCAAGGCTGCGCCCCCAGCATGTTGGCAACACCAACAATAAAAATTACCATACCATGTACAAAAGAAGCATGTTGAAAATTTATTCTTATCAAATAATGATGTATTTATCAACTTATCGTGTGTTGGAGGTTTAAAAAATACATAATCATATTTCATCCCGTAGATATCGTAAGAGACCACTGTGGCAAATGCCAGAAAAAATCTTAGGGTTTTCAGTAGATGGCGATATTACCGTCTCGTTTATACCATGCAATAAATTTTCCTATCTACGTGTATACTATGCTTCGATATATTAAAGCTGAAGATTTTTTTTTGTTTTCATAAACACTCTAATCGCTGGAACTACTAGTCCGATTTGAAAAATTTTTGTATGTTATAGTTAGATCCATGACGAATAATATAGGCTATCTAGCATTAGGCTACACCTCTCAGCTTAGATACTTAATAATAAGAAGAAAAAGTGCTCCTGAAATTATTTGGTATGATTTGAGTTGATGTAATGGTAAGTGATACGTAAATACAATATTATACAAAAATATAGATCTCTACTTCGTTTAAAAAACGTCCCCGATACCATGTAGGTACTCTATACCATGTAGGTACCCTACATGGTATCGGGGACGTTTTTTAAACGAAGTAGAGATCTATATTTTTGTATAATATTGTATTTACGTATCACTTACCATTACATCAACTCAAATTATTTCAGGAGCACTTTTTCTTCTTATTTTTTTTTTTTTTTTTGATTTATTTGATTGTTATTGAAAATTAAAAAGTTATTTATGAGCGTTATTATTGGCCATGGTATATTAATTATTAAGAACGAAATTTACTATATTATCAAAACAATTTTAAAGAGGATAACATTTTCTCTTTATAGCTTGTTATTTAGTCGCATAGTGAGATAATGAAAAATTGAAATAATTCAACACTCGGCTTGGCACGCGAACTACGCATAAACGCTAGCCGACGGCCGACCGACGAGTACTGAGAGAAACTAGCAGTGGATGCTTCTATTAGTTCAAACATTTTGGTTCGAAATGTATGGAATAATTGGCAAAATTATTTATAGAGATATGAGTTATAGAGCGAATTAAAATGTTATCCACTCTCCCTCTCCTTCCCAGGTGATCACCACCCCTACCCCCGGGTCTCAAAAAATGTCTCAAAGCGCCTGTTTTCTACTTACAAAGAAAACCATACACGATACATGAAATATGTGCTAGGTAGGAAATGATATTTTATAGATAAAAAGTGTTATCACCCATGGTTTCTGCGCAATATGCCACGAAATACAAATATCTTTTAGAATTTATCGCTTTTTTTTTAATAAAATTTTATCAATAATTTCTAACTTTACCGCCAAGATATACGTGACGAAAGTAAAGAATAGAAAAATATGCTCTTTAAAAAGAAGAGATAGATGCTATAATATAGAAAAAGTAAAAAAAAAAGAAAAGTGAAAAGTGTGGACGAATTTAATTTTTTTCTATAACGTGCATATACCGATAGATAAAAGCATTCCACTAGTTTTGCCAATTTTTTAAGTAAAATTATTGAACTTTATGAGCGAGGTATCATGGTAAAGTCGCGCGGCTCAGACGCGTGATATACGCGGGTGAAACCGCAGGGCTCAGCTAGTAATAGTAATACTTATATACCTATTTTGTTATATTTCGTTTTTCTTTTCTTAGTGTACAATAAAGAGTATTTATTGTATTATAAATACTCCGGCTGACAATTTTCAAACCATGACGATGCATGGTTTAAAAACTCAATTGGACCCGGTGGGTAGCGCTGCTGTCGAAATTCTGAAATCACTTGAACAAAGCCGGATTGGATTGCTAGTTATTAATAATTCAAAATCAATTGCTGTCTCGCTAAAACTCGAAACTGGCTCCACCGATTCTGATATTTTTTATGTGTTTGATTTTGTGGTTTTGGGGGTCTCAGGATGGTTTAGAGTCATAACTGGACCCGGTAGTTGGAGCTGTTGTCAAGGACAAGAAATCACGAAAGAAGAAAAAAAAGAAAAGAACAAGAAAAAAAATCAAGAAATCACGCGTACGGAGCCGAGACATATTGTTAGTTAATGACGGGTTTACTCTTGTTGAGAAGAGACGTCGGTCGAGACCCGTCTGTAAGCAGCGTGGCACCGCCAAAATAAACGCAAACACAACTCTACGTGTTGTGGAGCCCACCATACAGCTCTACATGTCCCGTTTGAACAAAAGTACGTCGGGAGAAGACGTCCTGCGTTTCGTGGAAGAACGAAGCCAATGCCGCATAGAAGATCCGATCTCTTTACATTTGCAGCGTCTGGAGTCTAAGAGGTCCACGAACTTCAAATCCTACGTACTCCAGGTTCCACGTACGTACGTACGTACGTAGTGTTTCGCCAATACAGGGACGCGCCAAAGAATAAAGTTCCCTAAATAGTGTTTGTTATATTTATATTTTATATATATTTTTAGGTTAAGGTATATATTGCTATGGGCCAATGTTCTTAATTTTTTAAGTCCTTGATGCCTGAAATAAATTCATGTATATATATATTAGTAAATAAATGTTAGTCACATTTACCGTAACTCGCATTATTGCTTACTTAATAATACTAAAGAGCTTTAAGACGTGTACAGTAAATAAGACATAAAACCGTATAAAATCCGTTTCCAGTTATAAAGTTACTGGGGATGACTATAAAATTAAGGTAGTGTCAGGAGGATTGCGAAGAAAAATGCTAGCGTAATTTACTCCGTAATTCTCAGTTGACTGATGTTCAACTTGAAATGTTAAGTATCATAATTTCTTATTACTTAAAGTTTTATCACAGGTACTACTATTATTATTTTTAATACAAATTTAAGCGCATTTTGTAATAAGACGATGTAGCAACGTACAGTATTATTCTATAGCCCTACACTATCTAGTGTCTAGTGTTTTGTGGAGATCGCTTGAAGGTAAAGTTGAGAGAGACCTATCTTCAACGTGGACTTATAAAGTTTAACTTACTGATTATAATGATGAACAAATAATTGGTGGATACAAATCAACGCGTGCCTTTTTTCACAAAGCAGTCTATTTTTATTACCAAAATTATAAATAGACCCGAGGTCTTGCCTTTTTTCACAAAGCAGTCTATTTTTATTACCAAAATTATAAATAGACCCGAGTTCTATCACGTAGCTCACGGTAGAGTAGGACCACACTCTTACAGAACACCAAGGTAAAATAGCAGCATAATGCTGCTGTGCTTCGTATGGTGATCCTAAAACTCTTTTTACGTCCATTTAATGGCATTCTATCTTAGACCTCAGTGGTGACAACGCATCTGCATTTTGATTCTTAATCAACAATAAACTTATCATCAGGAGGACTGTGTGCTCGTTTGTCACACTTGTTCTGTAAAAAGGCAGACTAAGCGTTTGTCGTGAATTTTGCAGTACATGCCCAACCTGAGTTCGATTCCCGCTGGCACCAATGACATTGTTAATTACAGTCTTAAGTTCTGATTTACTACGTGGACTGTCGTCGACGGTAAAGGAAAACATCGATACACAGACGTAATATGGAAATTTCAGATTCTATTCATTTATGTTTCCTTTAAATGCATAATTCCCACAACTGCTGAACAACGAAATACAAAACTATACAATATTTATACATGGTAGAGCCATGCTGCAATTATATTAGTAGCATAGTTGTAGCAGGCATGGGTTGACTTGACCGGGGAAGGACCACGCTCTTATAGAATACCAGCGTAAAATAGTAGCTTAATGTTGCTGTGTTTCGTATGGTGAGTGTAGAGAACCGGAGACCCTTTTTACTGGAAACGAGGCATTCCATCTTAGACCTCACGGGTTACAACGCATTTTGATTCGTAATCGATGATAGATGTACATGACTATGGGCCACAGCAATCACTTACCATCAGGTGGACTGTGTGCTCGTTTACCACCCTATCCTATAAAAATTACACTAGCTTTTACCTGCGGCTCCGCTCATGTTTAATTAAAAACCAATCAGTTTTTATTGCACGTTTAATTAATGAGTGTAATAAGAATATAGGCTATATTTATGTAAAAAAACTATTAGTTTACAATTTTTATACAAAAATATAGTCTATTCTAATCGGTTGTTTTTACTGTTTGTTTAGTAGTAATTAAACGACAAACGTACTAACGGTCAAACATATTTTCGCAGGTATAAAATTATTAGAATTGATAAGAATTCTATCTTAGTATATTTTATTAATGCAGGGGTTATTTTATGCACTATGAAAGCATACTGGTGCGAAGGTTTGCAATATAAAATGTTATAGTCCATGTACTTAAGTAAGTATTCATTCATTCATTCATTACAGCCTATCAAAGTAAAAACAAAATGTTATAGTCCATGTACTCAAGTAAGTATTTATTTATTCATTCATTCATTACAGCCTATCAAATTAAAAACAAAATGTTATAGTCCATGTACTCAAGTAAGTATTCATTCAATCATTAATTGCAGCCTATCAATGTTCACATAGGCGTCCCCTTAGATTGCATAATAAAGGGATATAGTTACGTTGGGCAGGTGAGTTGACTGTCGAATGTTTATATTTTTTAGTTGTTACCCATGCCTTGTTAGTTATAGGTAACAACTAAAAATATAAAATCCGCTATCGTCTCTTACATCGTTCTTTGAGTATTTGGTTTAATACTCAAAGATATCGTTACTTCACGGTGATATCTACAAATGCGTCATAAACATATGCTGTTTACATTAGCAAAGTAAGCATGAATGAATTAAAAGAAACGAAATTGGTAAAGGATTTGGAATTACGAAGGCACTGTTTATTTTCAACAACATGTTTCTTCCAATGGACTAGCAAAGAGTTAATCGTCAAAGAAAGTAGATTTCTCAGAACAAACACATTGAAATCACAAAAAAATTGGCGTAAGGGTTTTTTTTATTTTTTATTTATATTTTTTTATTTTTTTAATATTTTTATATTTTAATGATGACAGAAGATGAAAAATAGTCAAAAAGCCAATATATATAACTATAAGCATTTCTGTTTATTGTAATATTTCGTATTTTTATTTTATTTTATTATAATGTAAGACTGGCGTACAAACTAATAGTCCACCTTTTTTTATAGAAGGGGGCAAACGAGCATGCGGTTCACCTGATGTTAAGTGACTATCGCTGCCCATGATCAATCGCAACAACAGGGAAATTGCAGGTGCCTTGCCGGCCCTTTAGAAAGGAGTAAGCTCTTTTCTTGAAGGTCCCCAGGTCGTATCGGTCCGGAAAAATCGCCGGTGGTAAACTATTCCACAGAGAGGTCGTACGCGGAAGAAAACTCCTTGTGAAATGTACAGTGGTGGACTGCCAAACATCCAGATGGTGTGGATGGTATCGGGACGTTTGCCGCGTAGTGCGTTCACGAAATTTGGCGGCTAGGATTAATCCGAACAATTCCTCAGAACACTCCCCATGGTATATGCGAAAGAAAATGCAAAGAGATGCAACATTTCTTCGTAGCGCCAGTGAATCGAGCCGACCGGAAAGCACTCGGTTGTCGACGATTCGAGCCGCTCTGCGCTGGATGCGGTCAAGTGGAAGGAGCTGGTACTCAGGAGCTCCAGCCCCGAGATGGGAACAGTATTCCGTGTGCAGCCGAACCTGCGCCTTGTAAAGTTGCAGGCGGTGTGCCGGCAAGAAATACTGTCCAGCTCTGCTGAGCACGCCAAGCATTTTAGAGGCCAATTTGGCCTTCTCTTTCAAGTGACCACGAAACTGCACGTCACTCGATATGTCGACGCCGAGGATTCTGATACTGGCTAAGGCAGCAAGGGGAGTGCCTTGAAACTGAGGAGATACGACAAAGGGGTTCCTTTTAGCGGTTAACGCGCAAACTTGTGTCTTCTGAGGGTTAAACTGGACTAGATTTAGTCGCCCCCTATCCACACAGAGCATCACCAGTGCTGTCATCTGCGTAGCAATTAATGTTACGGGTTTTGTATTGTAAGTGACTACTGCGGCCATGTACATCCTGAACACAACTTTGAAAGATACCTAGTAAGACCCTATTGATAGTTACAATTTCATGATTGATGTTCATTTTTTGATGTCAATTTTCTTCCATGTCATATAACTTATACTTCGCTTAAATTCATTCATTATTTTATTAAAGCGTATGAAAAATCCACTGCTAAAATAGGTATCCCACATAGCCTACCCATTCCATCCCTGTCCAAACCCATCCCACATTACCTCATAAGAGAAATTTTTTTTTTATAGGATTGGGTGACAATCGAGCACACAGTCCACCTGATGGTAAGTGGTTGCTGTGGCCCATAGACATCTACATCTATCCTCGATTACGAATCAAAATGCAGATGTGTTGTCACCCGTGAGGACTAAGATGGAATGCCTCGTTTCCAGTAAAATGGGTCGCCGGTTCTCTACACTCACCATACGAAATACAGCAGCATTAAGCTACTACTTCACGCTGGTATTCTGTGAGAGCGTGGTCCTTCCCCGGTCGAGCCGACCCATTCGTGCTACAACTATACATCTAATATAACTGCAGCATGACTCTACCAGATGCCTCATTTTTGGCATAGTTACCAAGCGTACGAGGCGAGTCGTCAATCGCACTTTTTTATTATTTTCAGTTGCTTATCAGGAAAACGCTGCTGCCTATGTCCTGTCTCATTTCCCTCAGTCACCTTATACGACACCAATGTGTCCATATGGTTTACGTGGTAGAGCCATTGCTGCAGCTATATTAGTAGCATAGGTGTAGAACAAATCGTTTGACTCGACCGGGGTACGACCACGCTCTCACAGAATACCAGCTTAAAATGCCAGCTCAACGCTGCTATATTTTGTATGGTGAGTGAGAGAATTGGTTACCCTTTTTACTGAAAACGAAGCATTCTATCTTAGTCCTCACGGGTGACATCGCATCTGCATTTTACTAAGTAGAATGTGTGCACCTTTGTCATCCTTATTCTATAAAAAAATATGGGGCAGTGGATTCTCTTACGTCACCACTACACAGCTACATACCTTCTACGTTAGAATTATACGTATGTTTATTGGTTGGGATGTAAATATTTGTTCTTATATCGTGATATTTATATAAATTACTGAGAATTGAAATAAGGTTGCTTGAAATATGGTACAGTAGGTAAGATGCGATAAAAGATTTTAGACATGCAATAACATCGTGATTTCAAAAAGGGTGACATGGCTTTCTCACAGCCCTTCAGTATAAAAATGAAGTCATCGTGTTAGTATTTTCTGGAATAGCAAATATTTATAGTAAATGTTAACGATGCATAATTTGTTCATTAAATAAATACTTTTAGCCATATCAGTGTCCCGTGAGCCGTATACAACTACAATTTGATGGTTTAACTATTTCTTGTCTTTTTTGCGAACAGGGAAACTGTTAATACTAACTGTTATTGTATTTAGATATATATAAAAAAAAATGTATATTTATATAAACCAGATATCCCTATTAGTAGATACACTAGCCAACACTTTGCCATATAATGGAAAAATTTTCTTGAGGGGCAGACTCATTGCGGTAAGTGAAGTATAGGTCGGCCCCCCACTGGAGTGGTAGGTCTTATGGGAAGCTTACGCATATAGCGCAATGTATTACAAAGTGGCTATCGTTCCTTTGTTAACAAAGTTAAATGAATAGTCTTGCCGGTAAGACATACAATTGATGGATGCAGGTGGCTCAGGACCGTGGGTAAGGTTTATATTTATCAGCGGACTTGCGAAGGGCTGTAATTATGATGACATAAAAGGTAGTACTTTATTTATATAATCAGAACATTTTACAAAGTTAACAAAAGTACCGGAACTTATAAAAGACTTAAATTATTCATTAAGACAGATAAATACAACAAAAATATTGCCAGAGCTTCGGTCCACTCAGCGATTACCGCATATCCACTTGGCAATACTAAAAACGGGTTTAAATATTTTATTGCTACAACCATAGCAGTCATTTGAAAACTTAACGTCTAACAATAATTTGCTCACAGTCGCAATTTCAAAATATCTCCTGCAGCGGAATTTCCATAATGTCATTTCAATTTTAACGGTTATAAAATTTCAGCATTTTGGTGTCGTGTCAGTATTGTGCAAGTTTTAACTAGAAAAATCAGGCGTTATACAGCGGGTATTGCTGCAACTTACTTAGACCACTTACATCTTACGTCGTTTCGACTGACCTCTTAGACTAAGTTTACCTAGAAATCTCTTCTAAGTTCTTAGCGATCAGCCATCGCAAAGTCTACTTCACTTACTTCACGTACCGCTTCTTTACGTGGTAGAGTCACGCTGCAGTTATATTATGGTTGTAGCACGAATGAGACGACTGGGCCAGGGTTACTTGCGGCCGGCTTTATGCTGCTATGTTTCGTACGGTGATTTAGGGAACAGGTGACTCTTTTTACTAGAAACGAGGCATTCCATTTTAGTCCCCAGGGATGACACGCATTTACATTTTTATTCCAAACCAATTTAAAAAAAAAGTTTAGTTACATAATGATTTATTATATTTACGCGAACACTACACATTGATTAAAACTACTTTTACTGATTTTATCGCGTTTAATTTAAATTATTTGACGTTTCGGGTGCTTTCCAGCACTTACGGTCACGTGGGACTGAGACACCCGAAACGTCAAATAATTTAAATTAAACGCGACAACATCCTTAAAAGTAGTTTTAGACAGGTTTAATTACATTCAGTTATAACTTTATATCCGATGATATCCCGGACGTCAGTCTGAGCGAGATTAGAATGGCTCTCCAGCACCTTAAAAACGGCAAGTCCCCGAGCGAGGATGAAATTACAGCGGAGCTTCTTAAAGCGGGTGGAAAACCGGTACTTGAAGTCCTTCAGAGGCTCTTTAATTCCGTCCTCTATGGTGGCACTATCCCGGAGGAGTGGAGCAGAAGTGCGGTGGTCTTGTTCTTCAAGAAAAGTGACAACGCCCTCTTGAAGAACTACAGACCGATATCCCTTCTGAGCCGCGTCTACGTGCTGTTTTCGAGAGCTATCCAACTGCAGAGAGGTGTAAGACAGGGTGACGTTATTTCCGCGAAACTCTTCACCGCTGCATTGGAAGACGTTTTCAAGCTACTGGACTAGAAAGGATACGTATTAACATCAATGGCGAGTACATCACTCACCTTCAATTTGCCGACGATATAGTCCTTATAGCAGAATCGCTCGAGAACTTAAGCACTATACTCAATGACCTCAATAGTGCCTCCC